TGTAGCGTTTTCTTCACTCTGGGCTGGGTTTAGACTGTGAAGAAACCTTTACATACAGACCTGGGAACGTTGATGGCTTTGATCCCTCAGTCTCTATTCTGTGTTATTTAATTGTGGCTCTGTATGCCCTCTCACTTTGACCTTTCTTCTTCCCCTTACGTCAAACCTTTAGCAAAAGGTGAGATGAGACAGGATAAAATATGGCTCAGTAAAACAAGTTCTCTAGCTAAAGTCATATTGTGCAGATGACTTGTTTATTGTATTTAAACTTGGTTCCTTAGTTCTTCCTGCTACCACTTCTTGTTAACTGCAGCAAAATTTCACGCTTACAGAAGTGCAATAAAGTGGTAAGTTGGAAAAACTCAGGCCCAATAAATGCTACGTGTTTTCTTCTGATCTAAGTTAATTTAGATTTAATTGATAAGGAATAAAATGAACAGATTTTGAGGCATACTGTGATGATTTAGAAGACAATGCAACTTCATTTAGAAATGTTGCTTCTAAGAGTATTTATGGCAGGTTCCTTGATTTGCTGCTGCTACTTAATAGCAGGAAAGCTCAATGCTGAAATGGCATCTCAACAAGAAAAATTATACAGGTATCTGTCTGAGATGTCTGCTCTGCAAAGCATGCAGTTATTTCTGAGGGAAATGAGGCCCAATAACCATATGAATATATCGTAAGATTGAAGGAAGTAGCTCTTCCAGCCATGCTAGGAGACTGTAGTTACATGTGTTGGATGTTTTAGACCGAGGTTGCCAGAGGGCAGCATTGTTTAGAGAAAGACTCATTCTCCTGCTGCACTTAGGTCTGATGGCTCCAAATGCCTTTTACCTCATGTACATCAAACTATTTCAGTAAACTGACAGCTTTCTTGGGAAGAGTGATGGAAGGAGTACTGAGGCCCCAGGCAGTTGTTTAGGTGGAGTGCCTATGCTTGACCAGGACCTTGGCAGATTGTTGCTTCATCCCCAGCAGTTCGAGCAGCCTCCCTGGATGGGGGATGTGAACTCTGCCCCTCAGCTTGCTGAGCTGCATCTGCACCCTGCTCTCCCGTGAACAGGAGCAGTGAGGGGAAGGACTTGGGGCAGAAAGCAAGGACCATAAAGAGACTTCTATTATAGGTTTCCCAGACCAGTACCAGCAAACATGTATGTCACTGCCTGTCACACAGGAGTTTCTGACCTACCTGATGAAGCAGAAGTGTGTAAAAGCTGTTGTCATAGCTTATTTTCGGAAGCTGTTTGGCATGAGGCAGGGTGGCTGTAGCAGATTTCAACGCCATCCTTCAGAGGTACTGAGGCAGTGTTACCCAGTCAGCAGTTTCTGATGGTGCTTCCCTGGAGGGCAAAAAAACTGTGTTTCTGTGTAGCAGTAAACACTGCCTGGCTTACAGGTGTTCTGTATGGTATGGTAGCTTAAAACTGCAACGCAATCAGTTGGGCAAAGGAAAGTTGTTTAATACAAGAAGAATTAAAGCTTAGAGTGGTGGAGTTTAATTATGTATTGTCACCCACATTGAGCATTTGATTCCTGCAAGATTGAGGAGGTGAGAAGCAGCAGAAGATAGACTGAGGTCTTTGGCTAAATGCTGCCTACATCTGCATGGGGCAGGTCAACTCTCCTTCTGGATCTTTTTGGATCCTTTTGACCCAGGGTGACACTAGTTAGGCACAGTTAGCAGTTTCCAGACTTCGGCATGGGACTGAGGGTGAGGAGAGCCTGCCTTTGGAGCTCATGCATTTGCTGTTTCGGAGCTGCTAGTTGGGATGCAGGTGTCTGCACAAGCTCTGTCTGTCAAAAGATTGAAAATGGAATAAACAACTTACATGAAGAAAGAGCTATTCTCATAGTTTAAATGTTTGGATGAGCTTGGGTGGTCTAGCATTTTTGGGGGGGCTCTTAAAAGTGTATTTCAGGGCTCTTGAAGTGCTACAGGAACTTATTTGTATAGATTGCAGTCTTCAGCACTTGGCTTTTGGCTGTTGGCCTTGCACTGGAGCTTGTTGCAGGTGGATGAGTATTTTGTGTGGTCACCTGGGCTAGGTGAATTGGCAGGGCTCAGTAACAGTGGGAGAGGGAGTTTAGGAGAACCTTGGAACCCTCTAGGATACTGCTAGCACTCAGGATCTCCAGCCATGCTTTTTTTTCTTTTTGACACAGGTTCTGAAGTGTTTGAAGGACCAAGATGCTACCACTTCAACCTCTGAGAAGTTCAGGTTGTATTAAGTAAAGGCAGAAAAATCCTGAGCCTTTAATTCCTGACTTGTCAGCACAATGGGTGTAAGGACTCTGGTTGGGTAACAGCTGCAGCTCTAATTCTTTTTAGGTGGTGGGGATGTCAACAGAAAACTTTGCAGTAGATGTGAG